CTAAATGATAATAATTATAATGATTTTAATCGACAACAAAATGGTAAAGCTAATAATTATTACAATTACTGATTATCCCTGCAATCTCATTGGCCCCCTACCTGAGTCATTGACCCTTTATATATTAATTTATAATATTGATATATACATTTATAATATTAACCTATACTAATATATAATGCACAGCAAGACATAAGTACTGAAGTGGGCAGTCTTAATTTTTTGTTTCTTTTGGGCTGCCACCCCTCAGTTGTTGTTGCTACCCCCTGTCCCCCCCCCCCACCACCAGGATAATCTCTGGACCCGCCCTGTTTATATCCCTGCGATAAGAGCTATCATTTTGATCTCAAGTTCGTATCGTTCTCTACAGGCTGTCAAAACTCGTTCAATATTTTTTTTTTTCGCCGCGGATATTGTTCCGTCACCGGATTTTATAACATTTTGGCTATTCGTCCGTCATCCACTCACGCTTGCGCAGTGTCGATCATTCTGTCTTGTTCATTTCGTGCAATATTCATAGTCGGATCGACACCGCTGGAATATTCTTCCGGCGTTTATTGTCGGAAGCCTACATCGAAGAGCTGCTTTTCCCGAAATTGCGCACATCACCAAAAAAATATATATATATATATTCTTAGGACGGAGTAGACATACATGCTAAGTTTGCTACAGTTTGACATTTCTGTGATATTCATCCCTATTCTGTGATTTTACCGCCGCTGCCTATATAACGCTAGGACCAACGCCCGCATTTCAAAAAGCAAAAGAATGTGGGAAATAGAAAATCCGAGCCAAGGATAGCATTTCAGATGATAAAGAAAGTGAAAAATGTAAGAAACCCGAGAGAAGATTCGGTCACGGATGATTCGACACGGCGTTGCGCGAACGAACGAGCGAGTGAACCGCATCTTAAACGCACGAGCAACCAATAGGATCGCCGTATGAACCAAAAATCCCTCCTAACTCGGGGGCAAACTTTAAGTACAAACACCAGTTTTGTTTTGCGGACACCAGCTATGGTGTACGCAAAACAGCAAAACTGGCAAATTCAGTTCCAACTTTGAAGGAATCCATCATCGATGATCGACCTTTTGCCATGAGCAATGAACAACACAAAAACAGCGCCAAAGTTTGTATGCAAGGCTAATGCGCGATTGTGTTTGCGTGCAAATAGTGCGCATGCATGCCGAACGAATGGCCAAACTGTTATAAAATCCGGTGCCGGAACAATATTCACGGCGTATTTTTTTTTTTTTTTTTTTTTTTGTCCGAACGAACCACGTCAAAACTCACCATCTAACTGGGTCAAATTCACGTCTCGACAGCTGATCCCGTGTTCGCGTGCCTCCTGCAGGATGGTCGGGCACTTGCACTTGTCGCAGAGGTCCCAGGTCGTGTTTCTACCAAAAAATCTCGAGAAAAGCCAGGCTTGCGAAGGCCCTATCATCAGAACCGTCGTCAGGAACAGCGTCAGCGCCACCACCGATTGGGAAAATGCCCGCATTTTTTCGACGTAGTGACTGAGTGCCTGGTCTCGCCGTTGGTATATTTCTTGCTATTTTCCCTTTATGTAAACCTGCAAAAGCGAGGGTTTTATTCACGTCATGAAATTGGATATAATCGCATTACATCAAGATATGAACATCCATACGACACATCATCCGAGAGCCCTAATATGTACAATAAATATCGAAATAATGTTTATCACAGGTCATAGTAACGATGGATGACCGTTATTTAGGAGTATATACATGAGACATATCCACATAAAAAATGGGTTTTCATGTGCTCCAGAGAAGAAATATATTCGAGTATTTGTTTACAGTTTGAATGTGTAAATAGGCATAGATTTACGTAGGAAGGTGAATCTCTCCTTTTTAGGGCATTGTATGAGAAAGAGAGAGAGAGAGAGAGAGAGAGAGAGAGAGAGAGAGAGAAGAGAGAGAGAGAGAGAGAGAGAGAGAGAGAGAGAGAGAGAGAGAGAGAGAGGGAGGAGAGAAGAGAGAGAGAGAGAGGGAGAGGAGAGGAGAGAGAGGAGAGAAGAGAGAGAGGAGAGAGAGAGAGGAGAGAGAGAGAGAGAGAGAGAGAGAGAGAGAGAGAGAGAGAGAGAAGAGAAGAGAGAGAGAAGAGAGAGGAGAGAGAGAGAGAGAGAGAGAGAGAGAGTTGAGAGAGAGAGAGAGAGAGGGAGAGAGAGAGAGGAGGGAGAGAGACATGGCCACAGACAGAGAAACGAAAGCCCAAGCGTACAGTAAACCGCGCCGATTGTGGCTATACTCACGACTTGTTATGATGATAATGCCAACTTTCAGGCCAGAATTCTCTTCCTCACACAGTCCAACTTACTTGGGAACCGTTATAACATGTACTGACTCCTCTGCCGATGCTTCACAGTGCTTCAGTAGCTCAGGGGCGTTCGTAAACACACAAAACCTTGATATTAGGAAACATTACAGGGGTTCCGACAAGTCTTACCGTGGTACTGAGATGAGAGCTTTCTCTG